AAGCAGTGCACATTCAAATATTTTTCGAAACAAAAATCCAAGACCAATGCTGAGATTCGAACTTTTAACACGACACACAAATATTATTAGTTGGTCAAAATAGACGGCCCCAGAAAATTCATTAGTTTTGATCAATTCAACATGATTTCAACAAGTTTTCCGATTCAAGTGGTTACCAGTAAAGCTGTTTCTCAGGGTGTCGTTCTGAGCCATTTACTTTTCTCCCCTTAAAAAATATGTCGTATGAATTTACAAGCAATTCTCATAGTCTGACATTGAAAAATGCATTAGATTGTTTAACAATATTAAGAATTAATCCATTTATGTGTAGTGGTCTAATTGACCAAATTACTTATTTTAATTAATTAATTATTATTTTTATGTAAGGTCTTGGTTGAGATAAAAAAGTTAGTGACACGAGCGGGATTCGAACCCACGACCTTCGGCTAAATACGTCTCTGCTGTGCCACTTGAGCTATCGTCACTTCGATCATCAGACACCAACTTCCCATCTCAACCCGCTTTTCGAATTTTGCCGCCTTTTTGCCATTTTTTGTTCCTAAAAAAATGGCACATTTCTTTTTAATTTTTTTCAGATCACATATCCCATTAATCAAATCTGTCCTTTTTTGAAATTCTATTTTGACGATTTTTTTTGTACATGGTCTGGAACACTAAAGGACTCCCCATCTCAACCTACTACCTTTCGAATTTTCTCTCCTTTTGCCATTTTTCATTTCAACCAAAACCTTACCTAAAAAGATTAAATAATTGAAAGAGGTAATTTGGTCAATAGACCATTAAATATAATGGATTTATTATCATTTCTTTTTGTCTCGTTATCATTTCATTTGGGAACAACACTCGTGGAAACAGGCTAAATCGGGGCATCGATTTTGTTTTTTAATAAGCGATGTAATAATTAAGCTTAAAGCTTCAGCGTTGCAAAAGAGAAACGAGAGATTAGTTTTTCCAGCAGGCTGACAGTTAACAGACGTGAAGAGTGACTGTGGTGGGAAAGAGCGTTAAAAACTTTATAATTTTGAACTCGTCAAAACTGTATCTAAGTTTGACAGGGCACTAAAACGTAAACCTCAGAAGCTATCGGGGAGAAAAGTTACGCCGCGGAATAAGAGCATTTTGTTATTAATTAACTTTTTTTCTTTCGACTTTCAGCTCAGAATCTCCTTTGGCGGTGACATTCTCGGATAGGACGTTGACTCTCCTGGTTAACACAATAAATTAAATTTTGAACTAAGAAAATTAAAAAACCTTTCTGGCAGGTTGGTTTTTTAGTAGAATTACAAATTCAATCAGTGAGCTTTGCTAAATAATTAACTACAATTAATTAAGGTTTTTAGTTGAGATAAAAAAGTCAATGGCACGAGCGGGATTCGAACCCACGACCTTCGGCTTCTACCACCTGAGCTATCGTGACCTCGATCCACTCGGACACCAACTTCCCATCTCAACCCCACCTTTTGAATTTTCCCTCCTTTTTGCCATTTTTCAATGGCATGGAGGTCACGATAGCTCAGGTGGTAGAGCAGCGGCGTATCAAGCCGAAGATCCTGGGTTCGAATCCCGCTCGTGCCATTGACTTTTTTATCTCAACTAAAAACCTTAATTAATTGTAGTATATTAATTGGTCAAGCGGACCACGAAATTAGTGAATTTAAATAATTAACGTTTTAGAAATTAAATTAACCATAACAATAAAAATAAAAATGTATGTAAAAATCTTCAATTGCTTCATCTTTGTCAAAGCAATTGAAAAACCATAAAATTTATCAAAACTAACGAAATTTTTAACGTTTAATTAATGTACAAACTTAACAATTGGATGTCATATCCGTAAAATTATATTTATGTGCCTATCATCAAGATAAATTCAATTTTTTTAAAATTGGTGCTTCTAACTCCAGCCGATTAGAGATAGTACTTACCTTACTATTGCGGTTCATATATTTTTTATTTATTTTAATTAGGCTAGGGAACGAGAACTCGAATTATGCTAAATTTTACATCGGGTTTTTTTCTCGCTTTCGTTTTATCCTGTTTACAACTATCCAACTGTACCTGATTGTGCATACTGATTGATTTTCATCCAGGCATTTTTCATTTATTAAGGTGAGATTATTTAACACCGTGTTATAATAATTATAATCAAAATGTGTAAACAATTTGGGATTTCTTTTTGGTAGACTGGGAGATGAACATTTAGTTTGAACGTTTTTGATCTTTCTGGGCATCTTCAGATCAGGTATTTTTGTTTAACAATTTAATAACGGGTATTAGTAGTTTGTTCGTATTCGATCATTTTGGACGGACTATCATCGCTTTTTGGTCTCCCAGGCGCGTTTATATGAAATAGGGATGGGTTTGATTTTAATTGATTTGATATTTTAACACGGATATTATTTTTGGCTGGATACACAATTTTTGTCGCGACAGATGAGTGCGGATAGGTTGGGTTAAGGTTAGGGTCAAGGCTAGAGAAAGATAAATAAAGTTAGGTTCGATGGGGTTCGAGTTAGGGTTACCTTATACCTAAACAAGATTAGTTTATATTAGATAAAGTAAGCTGTTAAACCCGACTTCAGCTGTCAACAGAATTGTCGCTCAGAGAAGAATGGCGTAGGTGAAGTAAAATTTTTTGAACCGCCAACGGTCTTGAAACCCAATTTCGTCCATTATTTCTTCCTTCTTCCTTTCTTATACGTATTTCAGTTTTTGATCTATCTCTTACAAACCGATGGTTGGGAAGTAACAAAGCATTGATGATGGTTAGGGACGGGTTAGCTAAAGTTAAAACACGGTTAGGTTAAGTGTATGGTTAGGTTATATAAGGCTAGATTATGTAAGATTGTGGTAAGGTAATTTTTGTTCCTCTTCCAATTTTTACCAAGACGCCTACTTAACGAAAAGGTCTCAGTGCCACTTCCACTTTAGTCGCTTGCCAATTTAAAGGAAAGGTTATGGAATATGCGTTACATGGAATGGGCTAATTGGTTAGAGTGAAAGAAGAGTTTTCATTGTGTTCATTGTGTAGTGTAGTTTTGGATATATAATAGGGATTTCGCATTGGCAGGACTGCATTTTTTGGATGTTGAGAGGTTTCGGTGACCCAAAGGTACGTCTAAATCGGTTTCGCAAGTGTTCTGTAGATTGTCAGTTTGTTTGTTTTTTCGACACTTTAGATTTGCGTCCATTTGGTTTATAGAGAGTGTCTGTTCAATTCCTGTCGTTTTATTTGTGTGTGTCAGTTCCCTGTTAGACGTGTCAAGGTAGAACCAAAGATAGTCCAAGCACTTGGTTTTAAGAATAGGACGATCCGCTCGGACACTACCTCAAAACATTAGATAAAAAGTATGATTAAATGAAATAATTAAATACGTCAATTATGACCGCTAAATATATAATGAGTTATATAATAATTAAAACAAGTAATTACTTCGCTAAGCCAGCTCCCCTTGGCAACTTCATAAGTCACTGACAATCGACTCCTGATTACAAGACAATTGAAAATATGGTAAAAAGAGGGAAAATTAGTTGTAGGTTGAGATGGGGAGATGGTGTCCGAGTGGATCGAAGTCACGATAGCTCAAGTGGTTAAAGCAGCGGTGTATTTAGCCGCAGTTTGAGGGTTCGTATCCTGCTTGTGGCACTAACTTTTTCATCTCAGCTAAGACTTTAGATAAAAAGTATAATTTGGCGCAATTGATTTCATTTAACTTAAACGACAGAGTTTACTCGATGCGGATATTTGCAATGTGCTTGATGCTCCTCCGAAGCAAGCACGGGTCGGGATCAGAGATTATTAAACTGTAAATGGCAAAGAAAGCAAGAATGGCTGATGTCAGGATATCTGAGGTATAGAGGAGATAAAAGATAGGTCCGATCACACTGCCCGTAGCAGTAATCAGAGTAGTCCGACCTTTCGCCGAATTCTTCTAATTTGGTAAGATCAAAGAATTAGATAACCTCCTTGACAGTACACGCATTAATTTATATTGGAAAACTTCATGGCTCACATAATCGAACGTTGTGACACGACAAGAAATACCCACCCCACATCCCTCCACACTCAACGGAGGATATATGGTCCAGACCTAGACACCACTCAGTCAAGTCGAAAAATTTTCAGAATTCAAGGACCATCTAAAAGAAACAAAACATAATTTCAATTCAAAGTTGAATACAACAGTGTTACTTAGTTGCAACAAAGGAAGAGAACTAGATTGGGTTGAGAAATTTGAAATTAAAAAATGTACAATTGAATATGGTGATAAATGCATTAATAATATAACAAATTTTGATCTACCTCCCATTTTAAATATGTATATAAATAATATTAAACGTCCACATAATTAAACTAATTATTCTAATTGTTATTATTTTTATAATAATTTAATAATATTAAGGTATTATTCTAATTATTTTATTTTTATTTATTTTTATCTTTAATCACTAATTTACAATTAATTTCTTACATTATTTACTATTACAATTGTTATTTGTGTTATAACTCCCGATTTCGCACGTTCAAATTGAGCGCCATTAGAAACCCAGCTCCTTATTGGAACGTCGCGTTGGCGGGGGTATCAGCGGGTTCACTTCTGCAATTCATGTTGAGAGACGTGTTTGTGGAAACCCTTCAACCTGACGATGAGCTAAAGGGCTCGAAATCCGGATTGTTGCGAAACAACTTAATGTGAGTAGGAACCATCTTTTTTAAAAAGGATTGAACTCCACACTCACCACATCATTTATAATTTCTTCCACTAGGCTGTGGAATGTTGAGAGCTAAATCCTAACTGATGGTCTCGAAGAAGGTTGGAAAAGTGACGTGTCGGTTTCAGTCGTGTGATCGGATCATCCGAATAATTTTTAGCGAAGTTTTGGTAAGATTGATGATCAAAGCCAAAAAACTAAACACAGCACTATACGTTTATTGTTTGAGCTTGATTCCTATAATAAAACAACCATATGGGTTTGGCAATTGACATCATCTGTCAAATAGTTAGGTTGTAAGAAACAAACACACTGAAAATTGTAAAAGGGCGTATATTTAATATTCATTCAGGTTGAATTGGAATGATAAGATATTGAAGAGGACCCGGACTCATTTTAATGGTATTGTATTATACATTCTACCTTGCTTAATTGAAAGTCTCGTATTGAATATTTCATTCTAAGACTCCATTTCAACAATTCGAGAGTGATAAAAAGCAAAATAAAAGTCAAGTTAGCCGAGTTTTTTTTCTGTTGTTGAAAGAAAAATGCACTAGGACCTCGCTAAGGGTTATTTTACTCTTTCTTTAAAATTATCAATGATTGATTGACCTCGGTTCCATACGGAAGTCGGTTATATTTGTTTATTGCTATGAGATTTCCACGGACAGACGATGAAAATGAGAGATACAAAGAACATGAGGTCATATAGGGACAACGGACGGATGATCAAACTGAACGACTCACTGCTCACTGAAACTTCAACAACATAAACATGTCGTTCAGATCAAAATACTTCGTTGCGCGGACCAAAAAGATGAGAAACAACCAAAATTCAGGTGTGTAAAGCTAACAACCACTCGGGGTTTTATATACCTATGGAAACCAGGGTCAGCTCTTTTAAGTGTTTGTCTAACATATTTTCCCTTTTTCCCCTTTCTTTCCGTATTTGACTGAGATCATGTGGGCTGTGAACTTCTACACAGTGTAAAGAAGTAAGGTGGAATAAAGGCTTATAATTTTATTTCCAATGTTAGAAGTATCGACCACTTTTTCACTCACGTACACTCTAGATGGTCTTGAAGAAAAAATTAATTCTGTCAAGCTTTGCCTGCTGAGAGAGAATAGTTCCTTTTCCTTATTTTTGAAGACTGTGATTTTCTTAACTAACCTTATACCTTGTGCTTTAGGTCCGTAGTCCAGGTTCAACATTATCTCACTTTCTGGTATATCTGGTTTAGGTACCGATCCCAAAAGTGAGACTGCTGCCCTTCTTTTGATTATTTGAAAGTCTGTTCTATTCTTTATATACCCTCTTGTCCCGAAACCAATCTCAAGGTAACCTTGTTGTTTTCCAATGGCCATTAGGTAATTCAGGCATTTCCAGACAAATTTCTAGCTAAAATATGCATTTAGCGCCTTCTTGTGTGTCTGACCGTCTGAAAGTATGTAATTCCATCAACTTTCATTTTCTCCTTTATCAACACTTGTGCATATAGTTGGACCTTAGCTTGGAATAGAGCTGGATCTTGTCCAAAGCGTTTTGCTAGGGAATGATTCAACTTTTTTACCCCTTATGCCTCTTCCATCTTTGAACAGTATGCCATATTGTGGCCTCTTCCTGATACTTTTTTCTTGTGTTGTTGTGTGTTTTCTTTCAAAAGTCTATATTAACTATGACCTCTAGAAAAGGTATGTCAAAGTTGAGTTTTCCTCTCACTATATCAGGTACTTTATCATTTATTTTAATTGTATCCAGAATTATGTCATCTTCTTAAATCCTATTTTATTCAGAGTTTCATCGCTGTAAGCATTGCTGCTGTTATGGTAAGACACGCTGGTCTTTGTAGACTACCGATTATTTTTTGTTCCTACGGAGATTTTTGCTATATAATCTCTGGCCAATGCTTAATAGTGTCTTAGCCTTATGTATTATGTTGACTATTACTATGACTTCTCCACTTGAGCTTTCTATCAAGGTCCATCCATGGTTATACCATGACTTTTTCTTTGGAAAAAGTTATGGCTTCATCTTTTAGAGTGGATGCTTTAAAGTCTAGCTTCTTTCTTCTTGTGAAGGTTTTTATTATGGCTGATATTTAATCCAATTTTCTCACACCATCTTTGTACAATATTTTGAGTTTCATTCCATTCTTGAGGGTCTAGTTGAGTTGTTACATTGTTTATTGCCGGCTTTATGTTTACTTGTTTTATTTTTAACAATATATTTCGTACGATTACTCAAGCAACAAAATCGTAGTAAGAAAGAAAGTACAGGAAAAACCGTACAATGTAATACAAACAGGCTTGAAATTACTTCGGACAAAAAGGTCGAAAAATGGTCATACTTGAAAAGCAAACATCCAACACGAACACATTCATAAATTCGCGAGTCAACAACAGACGATGTGGAGCGTCGGAGGGCACAACGGTTTAGGCGTTAACACTGTAAGGCGCTCATCACTGTAAGGTAAAGGTCCCGGGTTCGAATCCCGACGAATCAAACCCGACATACTCAAAAACACCGAACAGACCACACACCAAGTAAGGATTTGTACATCATAAAAATGAAAATAATAGACGATCACAGGGACCGAGCGGAGCAATGTACAAAAATAATAATTAAAAACAAATAAAAAATTCAATCCGTCAATGACTACAACAGACCATGAAAATACCGACACATTCCACCTTTCACCACCTATAAACGCGACCTAACTAAATTTTAATCCCATAAACCACTGTAGATGACGAGAAGATCAAACGCGTCTCACAGACTAAAACTGCGAGTATAAACAAACCAAAATGAACAGAGCTACCAAACTATTTTTTTATTTGTCGCAAAATGAATCAGTAATTATTGCACCTGGTTATTCGTTTCTAAAAAGTATTAAAATTGATAAGTAAAAATTGTCAAAGTTATGATTTTTTAAATTCACAAATTTCGTGGTCCTCTTGGCCAATTAATATATTACAATTAATTAAGGTTTTTCCAGTTGACATAAAAAAGTCAATTGCACGAGCGGGATTCGAACCCACGATCTTCGGCTAGATACTCTTTTTCAAATGTCGTGTAATCGGATTGGATTCTCGACGACAAATGAAATGGCCAATTGAAAAATGGCAAAATGGAGGGAAAATTAAAAAGGTGGGGTTGAGATGGGAAGTTAGTGTCCGAGTGGATCAAGGTCACGATAGCTCAAGTGGTAGAGCAGCGGCGTATCTAGCCGAAGATCGTGGGTTCGAATCCCGCTCGTGCCATTGACTTTTTTATCTCAACTAACAAAACCTTAATTAATTGTTATGATTTTTGTTATCTCAATCATAGTTACCCTACTTCTTTCCTAATAAATTAAATTTCAGGTATAAAAGGAGATTTTAATTGTTTTAATTAATAATCAAAATCCCAAATTACACATTGGTTAACAACGCTATTTAATTTGATTCAAGATAAACGTGTTCGCAAATTTTGATTTCCTTCAAAAATAAAATATTTAAAAAACACGTTTATTCTGTTTTACCCAATTTTATTTTTTAAATTCTATATGGAAAAAAAGTACTAAATCGTTTTGGAAAAACGTTTCGGTAAGATGGAATCATTTCATATGCGAAAAATATAAATAAAATTAACGAAACCCTCCCCTCTTTACATACGAAAGCACTTTGGAAACGAAATATTCGCATATATAAAATTTAGGGGTCATCTACATCCCCTGGGTCTGAATGGTGCATAATTCCGAAGGTTAAATTTCATCCTGAAGTCCCAGGAGTGTCGTCGTTTTTGCGGGGGAATAGGGATAAACCCGAGATGAGCGTCGGCAGCCGGGTAAAAATATTTCCAGCTTTAAACTGGAAATGACAAGGTACTCAGTTTGCCGAGTTTGGTAAATTAGAGCTAGCGTTCTCAATTTGTCAAATTGTCCCTCCGCAAACTGTTTTTCGCGGAGGGGGGGCTGAAGGCATCAAAAGAAATTAGTATTATCGATCAAACGGCCGGTCTTCGGACAAACTTTCAATTTGTAAACTCTGCAAATTGGTTAATTATCACTAATTGAACTTTCCCAGACGAACATTCCACAGAAATTTTCTACCTTTGGTAAAAAAAAAAAATTCTAATTGAAATGTGGCGTTTTAAGATTTTTTTTTTTTTTTTTTTTGCTCACCACAAATAACTGAGGTTATTAGGTTTGATAGGAATTGAAGTTTTTGTTGTGATTTGTAATTTGCTTTCTACGAGCCTTTTTTTAGCACATTAAACCAAACATGTGATTTAATTTGAAGTATTTGGACTTTAGTTATAAAATATCTTCTAAATTTTCTTTATTAAAATGCAATATACTTACTTGTCAATAAACAAAGTTTTCAGTAATATTGTCTACAAATTTTGACAGATGTTTTATGTGGCATATGACAACGTCACTCATTTTCATTTCATTTTACCCATGTACAACCAAAAAAAGAGGAAACTTTTATTTTCAGCGATTTTTACCAAAGAAGAGAAAACTTCGTAACTCGGTTTAAATTAAATCAAGAGATAAAATCAGTAATAAATAACCACCGTATACATGATTTCCTGGGCATGAGGGAAGTTGTTATGGTGCCTCTTAAAAACCTTCTGTTAACAGGTAAGGTTATTATTTTTTTAAAAATTTATTTTATAGTTTTATATAATCCGTGCATACTTTTCATCCAGGGCTCCTGTTTCTCATGACGTTGGGAAATGTGACGACTGAAGTCGAGGAGAAATTTCAAGTTCAAGAAGCGACCAAGTCGACCGGGTCAGCGGTGGTCGCATGGAAAGACTTGTACTTCCTCAAATCCGTCCTTGACGTCTTGATGTGCTTCAAACCGTTCGAACCACCGACTCTTTCAAAGTTCGACGCTTTCGGCACCGAAGCCACTCCAAAATGCTTGGCCGAAATGCAAAACGAGATGTCAGAAAAAGCGGGATTCTTTATCAATTGGGGAATCAGATACATAACAATGTTTTTTGTTGTGTACGTAATAAATCAAGTCTGATATAAACATATGTTTATTTCTCTTTCAATCAATACGATCATCGATTTTTTACTAGTCCTAACATTGTTAATTAGCACAGAAGGATTATCGGTTCTTAAGGAAAGAGCACACGTGCTTTCCAGCGGTACCAGTCAGTCCACTGTCACGAGTCCTTCGTGTTCCGATCGGTAACGGTCTAATACAGCATTTTATTTATTGCGATATGGTTGGGAACCCTCTTCTTATTTACAGCCTTTAATGGTGATTGCGTTTCATACGATTTAACTATTAAAGCAAGACGCACAACTTTTACTGTATGAAAAGTTTTCCAATGTTCCTAAGTAAATCAACTGGGAAACAATCGAGGTGAACTAATAGAAAAAAACATTTATCGCATTTATTTATTTCAATATCGCGAATTTCCTCCTCTTGCCTTAAATACATCTCGAAGACCCCTCGGCATACTTTCTACCAATCTGGAAATATCTCTTTACTGGAGGTGAGCCCATTCTTCAAGAAGAGTCCTTTCAAGACGGCGGAGTGTATCAGGAAGTGATGGCGTACTCTTATTCGTCTTTTGAGGTTATCCCATAAATTTTCGATGGGGTTCATGTCTGGAGAACGGGCTGGCCAGGCTACTGATGTTATGCTGTTGAAGGTAGGTTTGTATTATGCGAGCGACTTTGGACTACCATTAGAATACGATTGTCGCTGATTTCATCGAGGATAGGCAACGCATGCTGTTCCAAAATTTCATTCACTTAGCGAGTGGCCGTCAAAGAACCTCCACGAACATAAACCAAAATTGTGCGACTCTCCAGTGAAATTTCCGCCCACATCATCACTGTGCTAGGTTCGAAAACGTTGGTCTTGGGAAAAATTACAGGCTTGGTAACTTTCATTTCGCCTTCTCCACACTCTTTCACACCCATCTGGAGATTGTAGAGCATATCTAATCTTATCTCTAAAAGGTACAGCAGACCAATCGTCCAAAAACCAATGGCTGGGTTCTCGAGCAAACGCGCGCCGTGAAACTCTGGGTGTTCTGGTCAATTCTGATCTTCTTACGGGGCGAAAAGCCATCAGTTCACATTGATTTATTCTTTTTCGAGCTTTCAGAAATTTGGACACCTCGAACTTCCTGGAGCTGATAAGCATCGCAAAATTCTCTAAGTCAAAAAAACGGCCATCCTGTGGTTCTGTTACCCTAGGGCGTCCAGAACCGAGCCTTCTATGGTCAGTCCAAGTTACTCGAAAACTTCGAACGGCGTTTCGCAGAGTTTTGTAGGGAATTCCGATGGCAATAGCCGCAGAACTGATGTAACGTCCATCATCAATAAGTGCCACACAAGGCGCAACAACCTCAGCACCAAACTGGCTTTTTTAAGTTCTAGTAAAATTAAGAAAAACAAAGATGAAAACTAAAAAGTTTATTGGTTCAGAATTCAAATGAACTTCCGCATTAGAAACAGTCCAGCTTGTGGCATATGGTATGGTGGAAAACACTAGGAAGCGGGGTTTGTATTCCCCAGGCACTGCAGCCTTCTGGATTATTGTACCTTCCTAGTTCCTTAGACTCAATCCATCTTCTTAGAAGTATCAGGTCAGCATGTGGCATAACAATAAACTTCTTCTGGACGAGTGGATTCGCTGTATGATTGACGCTTGGCGGCTGTAGGTCTTCGCCGTACTGCAGGTCGCTACAGAAAGAGTTTTTCTGGTTTGCGATGGACTCTTCCCAATGTAGCAGAACTATGACCAATAATTGACCGGTGTTGTAAATTCTATTACAAGATAGTTGATAGACGAAAATGCAGACAGGATCTTCTGAATATGACGTTTCTTGTTACTGGTTGAGGCCAGGCGCGATTCCTATGCTATGTAATTCGTTTCTTTTTTTCATCAGCATTTCCATCTCCGTCTTTCCTGTATTCAATCATACAATCATCCAGGAGGAACAGTGTTATGAATTGCATAAGAAGTTCTCGCAGAAGCAGGTACGAATCTGAACAATCGAAATGACCTTTGACTGCGCGAAATTTTATTTTATTTATTTGTTTATCGGTTGAAATCTCTACTATGTTGAGACGAAGTTGCATTTGCATCGTCGCAGATGGGTCTTGTCCTCGTTTTTCCAAATGCCCAGCTTTTTTTTACAAGGGTATATATCACAGGTTTACAAAACCTGGTTGACTGCATTTATCTGCATTATTCAGCAAAAAAAATTAGATTTAAATATTAGAAATTAGAATTTTAATTAGAAACTAAGCTTATTATTAAAAGCTGAACATGGCCAAAACCCACACATATCCGAAATACTAAAAAAGTAAATAGACAGTCCAAACCGACCCAACACCATCCATAGATTACTTTCACTATGGACCTAGACAAATATATCATCAGGTATGGCGTCTATGGTCAGCAGTGAAGGCTTTCCTCCACACCCCCTCATCTTTCACAGAGGCTTCCTGGGTTGCTGAAACACCACCCTCAAAAACCGGTGTAAACAGTATAGGTTCTTAGAAACTCCCGGGTGGGGCGATCAGTCTAACCTTAAAAATAAATGCATTAGGTTTCATGGTCCGATTGACCAAATTACTTCTTTCAATCAATTAATCTTTTTATGTAAGGTCTTGGTGGTCTACCACTTGAGCAATCGTGTCTTCGATCCAGTCGGACACCAAATTCCCATCTCAAATCGAAGTCACGATTTCTCAAGTGGTAGAGCAGCGGCGTATTTAGCCGAAGTTCGTGGGTTCGAATCCCATTCCTGACACAGACTTTTTTATCTCAACCAAAACCTTACTTAAAAATAAAACTGAACCACTGGAAGGGATGAATCCAAATAACCTCCAATTGAGGTTGGTCTCTCGTGGTAGTCCTGGTTTAAGTTCAACGTGTACCTAGCTCGGAGCTGGAGCTTATTGTGTTCGGTATGTTCATACGTAATAAACCAGATCCGTTTTACAACATATTTCTGCATTATTGAAATTATTCGGCCATGACCTCTCAGTTAGTATAGATCGAAGGACTCCACTGTATTTTAAATTTTAAATATCTAGCTATTATCTGTCTAAATACAATGTGCTAAAACATAAAATACTCCGTGCATTTTCTCACCGTATCCCAGCAGATCTGTCGAGTAAAACAAACAAACCACGAAAAAACGACCAAGTATTAATTTTGTTCATTAGGTGTATCGACGGTTACTGCAGAGAGAGGTCTGAAACTGTTGTCTATTATTAAACAGAGCTTTCGGGATTCGATTAAAACGGGCTCAGACGTCGAGATATCAAGTGGTGACGTACTGAGGGGCATTTGATTGAAACCGCCTAATGGGGTTTCGATTTGTCCTCCATTCTAAGCTTCTCAAGGGCTTAGAACGCTTGAGAAACAATTTACCTCTTGGCTCGACGTATTTCACCAAAGTTTCACTTTTTTTCGAATTACGCAGATGCTCGATTAAACCGATGTCATTTCCATTTTGTTATAAAGAGAATACTCATTAAAATTTTAATTTCATCAAAGTTTGAAGAGGAGTAGATAATCATTTTTAAAAATTTTGCCACTGATAACAAACTTTTACAATGGCTACTGTCCTTTCATCGTGAACTTTTTCAGCATTCATTTTTTCAGAAAGTAGAGTTAACTATTGGATTGAACTAGATCATTTGCAAAAGGAATATCAAAATCTTTAAGAGGGTCCAGAGTTATAGGACAAAGGTTATGTTGCGCAAGATTTAGACATTGTTTGGATTCGATTTAGGTTAGATTGCTTGGTAGTACCAAAGAGTTCAAGTCCTTAGGTCCGGATGTGTCAGATAATGGGCTTGTAAATAGTACATTTATTTTCTATCAGTAATCTACTTTGTTTACCTAGTTGTCTATACATAAGAGCTAGTCGGTTAGTAATTTGGTTAGTTCTAATCAAACTAGGAGGCGCATTATAGTTGCTGTCGGGATAGAAAAGGAGGTGGTGGACCTCTTTAGATAAGATAAATATTATTGATTGTAACATGTTTTTAAAGGTAACTATGACCAATTCATTTTTTAACACAGTTAGATGCAGAGGGTTTGAACGGAATGAGTAGCTTGAATAATTTATTGTTTGGGTGAGTTCTGAGGATCACTGTCATCGGCATAAGATGCACTACTGCTATACTGAGCGAAAATATTATAATGAATGGAAGGCCACCTTGGGTTATAGGTTCGCATGAGATGGCTGCAAAGCCTGTCGCACTGAGTTCACCAAAATGGAACTATTGTCCTCCAAATATGGTTAGGTTATGTTTGGTTATAGTCAGCGATGGCTAGCTAGTTTTGACTTTTTTCCGGTATGCCCTCGTCCATCGCTCTGTATTGCCAAAACTGACGAGGCCTCTCCATCCGAAGTCACATACACTTCTTCTCAACAAGCACCTAAGATCCACGCCAAACGTAGCCTCTTCCACAAGGGCCAGGGGTCCACACCGTCCTAGATCTCGTCACCCAAGGTTCGCAAGGCGAGGCCACTTACTGTTAAACCCGGATACAAAGATGTACCGGATACCGGGGTCAAAGTGTTATAGTGACAGAGAGAAAATTCAGAAATGGAATTCAATTTAAAAGTATGTTGACACGAGATAATTTCTCCAGTTCTGCGGTGGGATCAATCCACAGTCCGGACTCTGAGTTCGGAGAGTACTCCCGAGGAGGTCGTCATCAGAAGAAGGACTCGAGCAATCTACTCACCTCCAAGATCAACTACCGACCGCGACAATGTTCCTCCCCCGCATTAACACTACGCAGAGAAATAAATCCGATTGTAAGCCAGGGGCGCACCCCTTAAATTGGAGCATTTATTTAATTAAACCTTTAGCCCCGTATAAGACCGTTCTACCTCTTTGAGGTGAACCTTAAACGACCTGAAAACTGACAGTATTGATGTTATTCAGGCCGAAATCTAGGGAATTTTTTCAAAAGATATTGGCATTGTAATTTCTAATTTTCTTTTATAAATATTGGTTCCAGAGCCCTTTTGGGTTTTTGAAC